ACAGAAGAGCTGAATGTGACACGGCTCCATCAGACAGCACCCCCCCCACCACACACAAGAAGAAGAAGGGTACGTACCTTAGCCGCCCTCTCCTGTTCGCTGCTGTACAGGAATGTACCGAATAGACAGCTGTAGAGGTGGTCCAGCACGGTGATCAGGAACAGCTCGTTGAACTCAAAGGCTGCTGGGAACTGCAGTCAAGAGGCACAGAAGGGTTAAGAGTGACAGCTTCAAAATGTCCACGACACCTTTAGAGCAAAGGGATGAAAGCCAGGTGGAACTTTAACCCTGTGGAGATCACCGATCTCTGCGTGATCGGAGCCCATTTGCAAATGCTGTAATAATCTGTTGAAAGACAACTTGGTTGTGAATCTTGATTTCCTGTTAGTTACCTGTCGAGTCATCTGCCAGACGCAGTCGATGAACTGGACGAAGAGAGGTGAGCGCTCCGAGTTGGCATGGTTCTCGTCGCCGTGACCGACGCGCTGCGGCACAAAGCAGAACGTTAACCGACACTGAATCAGGTTCTTATGTGAAACAAGTATTCAACACAGAGAGCGGCCGTGATGTGTCCCATAATATGTCTCTTTTCTCCCCTGTTGTTCATTTGGTGTTTCTATCACATTAATGCATCATGTCTACATTCTGGGCATTTATCTCCAGAGAAATGATTTAAAGTCGTTGTCACCCCACAGAAAATGCTTCGATGATCACAATGACTGTTCCTTACGGCGGCAAACTTGTGTCCAAAGCTGACCCACTCCTTCTCCACCAGAACCTGCAAACACACACACACACAGAACATTATCACGCTGCGGGGAGGAAGGCTACGGCACACGGCTGATTATCGCGGCGCAGTGTCGGTGTCACCTGGAACCCTCGGAGGTTGCGGTAGTGGCTGTCCAGCATCAGCATGGCCAGAGAGGTGAGCTGAGCGGTCCGGTCCCAGCCGTCGCTGCAGTGCACCACCACCGACGTCTTCCCCGATTCCAGCTTGTCTGCTATCTTTGCTGCTCCCGCTAATAACAGCTAACACACGCACACACACGCACACACACACTTAGTAAAATACTCCCACAGTGATGAAGAAACAAGTGTGTGCTGTGAGCTACCCGTATGTACTCCAGCCAGTGCGTCTGGTCGATAGCGGAGTGCCAGTGGGCTTCATCGATGGTGGGGTAAACCACGTCCTTCATCTTCCTCAGAGACTCCCTCATCACGTGGATGTTGGGGATTTCCAGGAAGTTGAGCTCCACGTTTGGGTAGAAGCTCTCACTCTCGTACCCTCCGTCCTTCGCCTGCACGTGGGGGGAGGCGGTGGAGGGAGGGAGAGAGGGAGGGGGAGAGGGAGGGGGAGAGCGAGAGAGAAGAAAATAAGTCAACGTGCAACACGAGAAAGCAGGAGAAGTGTCAGCGCGTCGCACCTTGTTGGTCACCGCCACGCTGCTCTGTCGGGCGTCAAAGATGGTGAGCTTGTGGGACTGGGCGTTGGCATCCATGATGATTTGGAGGAAGCGCTCGTCCTCTTTGCAGCGGCGGTCCGATGGTCCGACGAGCGGCTGGCTGCAGCGTACGATGGTGGCCTGAGTCTCTGGGTGGATCCAGGACAGGACCTGCAGGAAGAGCAGGTGTTGTTTCAGGACCCAGAGGACTGACAGGAAACGCATCAGTGAGCTTTATCAACACACCAATGTCCTTTATTTTGACTCAATACCACACACACACACCGTCCTGCTGCCACACATACTCACTAGAGCATCAAATGTGGATTCATCCTCTGCTAAACATAGTCCCAAACTCATTCACTATTACCTTCTGTTCGAGTAATGTTTGCTAAAAACTGACCTGCTGTTTTAGGAAATTAAAACTAAATTAATTAACTAAAGAAAAATTACAAAAAATAGATGGGCTTGATGCTGAGAGAGAGACAGGGTGCAACAACCTAAAGGATGAGGCTACTACTGTAGCAGGCAGGTGTATTTTGGTTGGAGAGTGCACTGGAGGCCAAACATTTTGAGTGCGTCTTAAAAATTAAAATCTCCTCGAGTTCTATTCGGAGCACAATGGGCCAGCTGCCTCCTACAAAGGTCTAGAGTCTCAAAGCTGCACCAGCAACGCAACAAAAAAAACACTAACCCTGCTGACCTGTTCTGGAGCTCTCTAGCGGTGCATGGGTCGTGTTTCCCAGTGGACAGGGCGGCAGTCCCCTTGACTTTGTTATTAATGTTGATATTGTAATATAGTAATAAGCTTCTCCACTGACTAAATATTAACTTGTCTGTATTTACTGTTCTTGTTGTTCAGTTCATGTATCGTCTTTTGTCTTGCAAAAGTATTATTAATATATAAATATACTTATGTTAGTATGTGCTTGTGACACTGACCGGTATGCGGTGCTTGGCTCTGAACACTGCCACCCGTCTGACGTCCTCCTCTGTGATGTGGGTAGGGACCACCAGGATGGAGGGATAGGTGTCACACAGCTCGTAGCTGCTGTTCATCTTACTGATGGCCCAGCTCTCGTTAGGGAGGCCCTGACACCCCCCCCCCCCACACACACACACACACACACACACACACACACACACACACACACACACACACACACACACACACAGTATAAAGAGTACTCCATACAGCGTTACTATGCAGTGTTGCCTGTGGAATGAGAGGCTTGTTGTGCGATACAAAATATCAATTAGTATTCCACAGCACGTTTCTCCATCACTGTTAAAGACAGCATAGATAAGCTTCACTTTCAGCTTCCTGTCGGAAAATATTCCAAATATAGAACACACCTAAACACAGAAGTACATTAATCTGCTCACGTCTACTGTAGTAATACACTGACTATGGAGAAGTACCTCAGACAAACCGTCCCTTTAAGCTACTGCCAATCAAGCACTTCCTGTGCAGACATTTCACATTAAAAGTATTCCAGGTGACTTAATCCTCCTTGAAAAAATGTGGACTGATAGAAAAAAAAAAAAAAAAAAAAAAGAGTTTTTGCGTTTGACATAACTGTTGATTTGCTGATAGAATTCTTGGAGTGTTTCCATGAAGTGTGTGGTAAGCGATGGATGTGTCTGAGTGTGCACTCACCAGACGTCTGTACTCTGCTGCTGGGTCGTACACCTTCCAGCCATCCACGGGGAACTGCTCCTGGTACAGGAAGGAGAACAGGGGCTGAAAGAGTCACAGGACGCGTGTTAGTGTTCACAGCCCCGCCTTCAGTTTCATTATCAAGTCAGTTATTGATTATTAATTTCAAAGAATTAATCCATTTACGATGCAATCCCATCAAAACCTCCCATAAACCAAACTGATGTCGTCAAATCATTTATTTAGTCTAAACAAAACTGTTAAAAATGATATAACAATGACATGATCCCTCACTGGCATCCCACCAGTAAACACTGCCAATTGTGTAGCCTCCATTAGTGAATACTGAGTGAGACTGACCAGGCTGTGGGAGAGGGGGAAGGCATGTTTGGACAGCAGCTCCACCACGTCCGGATGGCTTTCCTCCGTCTTGTAGGCGAACCTAGGACTCCTCATGTCCTGATGACAAAGGGAGGACACAGAGAGAACACAAATCGTTAGTGTCAACGCAGACTCGTCAGTTACTGCTGAAATGGTGTCCCTGATTCTCTGGTACCTTGCAGACCAGCTCCAGTCCCTTGGTATTCTCTCCCTGGTTGGGAACACTGATGGTCTCCAGTCTGCTGATGACTCCCAGGTTCACGTCGAGAACGAACGGAGACTCCTGGATGTGCACAGACATTAACACACAGCTGCAAAAACACACAGAGTACTGTGATTGTAAAGTAAAGGTGTAAAATAATAAATCTGAAGTACCCGTTCCACGCTGGTGAAGTAGAGCTTGTAGTCTGTGATGGTCAGGGTTCCATTAACCAGACCACTGAACGGACAGATGTACATCACATCCTTAACTGCACGTCACACACAAAGAAACAAAAAGGTATTGATTTATGGGCAGGTAAGAAAGGTAAGACTATGCTGTTTGAAAATATAGATATATGTATAATATATTGCCTACTACATGATGAATATGGACACAGAACGGAAGCCCAGAGAAAAAAAATAATCCTGTGGTTCTTTTTCTTAGTCAGAGATAAATAGTTTCCCCTCCTTACTTACGAACAGCGCAAACAACAGGAAAACTGCTGACAGAGCGAACAGTGTTAACCTGAGGGGGACCCAGAGGATGGGCGCTACACTTCCACTGTGACGCTGGACTGCCGTACGCGAGCAGTGCAGAACTAACCAGTGGGGCACGCTCACGTGCACTAAAAACATAGTTACTATATTCATGCTCTGAGTATTGAATTTAGCATCTCTAAGTCCTAAACATGAGAGAGAAAACCATTTACATCAGGCTTCACAACGGAGCACCAGAAGAGTTTTTGTCCTCTCGGGGCTTCCGTCACACAGGGCTGCAGGACGGCGGAGGCGAACTCACCTGTAGTCTGGACGCTCTCTCCCGGTAGCAGAGGAACCTGGTCCTGGAACATTGTGACCGGCGCCCCGTATCTCAAAACTGGAAGGTTCTGCACAGAACACAGACCGGTCAGTGGGACCACAACAGGCTAGACCTGCACCACCGACACCTGACACAGCATTATTGAACGTGTAATGAACGGCTGAGATGGGCTTTATCTCTCTGCGAGTGTATTTAGACGACACCATCTGCAAGCTAACCGAACCAACGCTGCTAATGCTAGCGAGTAGCAGAGAGATGTCCCCTCAGGTTTTATGAGATGTAACGGGATGCTATTCACTGTTAGCCACTCTCTGATCCACTTGTTTTACTGATACAAATCAAAGTGCCTTCTTTAGGATGAAATGATGCCTGTTAAGAAGGCAGCTTGCTAAAACAGTGATCGTAATTACTCAAACTCAATGCATCAGAGCGTTTTTTAATAGATAAATGAAAGCTGATATAAATCACAAGGCATAAACAACACTGATGTCGGAGAAATATTAATGGAATATTTCTAAATATTAAAGTGATGTTAGAAATTAGGCAACAGAGAAGAAAGTTCTAAATTAATGAATTAATACATTCTAACATTCTCCCTAAAAAACAAAGGTCAGCATTGATACAACAGAGACTTTTAGTCCCTCGTATGGGAAGCATTGGATCCTACACTTCCCACAATGCAAATCAACAGCTTCTTCCTCCCGGTCTGTCAAACTCCAAACTTGTTATGCTACACGTGTTATTTGCCGTCATTTCTTCAGGACAGCAGCGCTGAACGGAGCTGAGACAGAAGGAGACGACAAGGCATGCAGACCAGGACAGAGGGAGGAGGAGGAGAACACGAGGAAGGACAGACAGAGAGACAGAGAGAGACAGACAGACAGACAGACCCAGAGACAGACAGAGAGAGACTTGCCAAAGCATTGGAAGGATGCTCAGAATCACTATCTCCATGGTAATAAAGCCCTTCATCTTGTGAGTCTTGCTGCCGGGGAGAGCAGCATAGAGAGAGTGAGAGACAGGGAGACATCATACAGTGAAGAGACATTATTCTGTAGGACACCGTTATTACCGTCACACCCCTCTCTGCTGGGCTGAGCTGGGTGTGTGGAGGTCAGAGCCCACACACCAACAATACACATTATTCCGTGTCCACACAATGATGGATTCCACTGGAAGCTGGCTGATGTCCATAAGAGTGTGACCGAGGCTAATCTGTCCTGTGGGCAACGGGGCAAGATCGGACGCATTCTGGTTTCTCACTGAGAAATATTAACCAATCACGTTGGAGCAGGCTTTGTTTCAATGCAGGCTGAAATGCAGTCTGGGAACCCGCCGGCCATCGCCTGACACTGCTTTAGCTTTCAATTAGCTCAGCTGAACCGGCCCTCTGTGAAACAAACTGGTTGGACACGCTGTCACTCAACTCCAGGTCCAGTCTCAAGTTGTAAATAATAACCGGCACACGTAAAAGGAAGTCTTGGTCCGGATATCCGCTGGCTACACCGCAACCCAAGAAGTATAGACCGATGTCCCCAGAGGCTACATCACAGTCAGACTCAGACTGTATGGCTGCTGACTTTTCAAACTGTTTCAACAGCCACGTCCACCCCATTGTTTCTTCTGCTGATGCTCCACACTCGCATGATCAGAAATCAGTCCTGATCATTAATGATTGGATTTTCATATCCATCACTGTGATGAAGTACCGTGGTCTGTCAAATTCACCGGAGACCATCTGGTTATTTTTAGCCATAAACTGTCTCTCAATTCATTTCCCAGGCTTGTAAACACATCACTATGAATACCAATTAGATAGTATGTATTATATACTATATAAGTAAAAACATTGCAGAACAGAAATGGAAAAAATGTTATTCAAATTCATCCTGAGTGGGACATTAATGTCTGAATCAAACATGACAATTCATGACAATCCATCCAACAGTTGTTGAGAGGACGGTCACATTTAACAGTGACACACTGATGAATGTTATTAGAGCTGCCCTCCACTGGTGTCAGATTCACCCTGAGCGTGTGAGCTCTGATAGGATTCATTGTGGTGTTACGAATAAACAAATAAAAAGTGTGAAGAAAGGTACAGAGAATGAAGAAGAAGAAGGCAGACTGAGCTGGATCTGGTGGAGATGAAGTGTGCAGTGGGTCTGATGCAGGAAGCAACTCTGACCTCAGACATCAGTGACACCGCATCCTGTTGGCTACATGAAACACAATGTGCACTCTCAAAGCTTATTACACTTAATATGATCTTTGCATCAGTGGAGTGAAGCACACAGATTTATCAGCTGCCGTTTCATTATTCCTGTCTGAAAAAAGTAAACACTTGCAACCGTTAGCAGTAGCTTTAGCCTGAAGCTAAGCTAGGCTTTTGGCTAATTAGCACACAGACCTGTGTACGTGCGTCTGTGAAATGTACAGTATGTAACAGAAGACAAGCTGATGAGACTACAACTCTTACCCTGGGAGTCAGCCTCTTGGACACCTGGAGACACCAAGTACACACACACACGGAGTTCATGCGAAATGGAATCGACTACATTCACGCTGTGATCTCAAACCGACGGTTACTTTCACTGCGTGGCATTACATCTTTCTTATTCTTGACAATGTCAAACAGTAAAATGAGACCTTCCTGTATTCGGTGCAAACAGCAAAAAGCAAACGCAACAACTGAAAGCTGCAGAGCAGATGTATATTTAAAACCAATAAGCAACATGAAAGCGCTGCATAAGACTTCATTCCACAGACGTGATAACTCTAAAGGACACTGCGCATTATTTATGAAGCTTTCTGTCTTGTTTTAAAAGATCATCTTTCAACTGTGGGAACGACACAAACTATATTCAATTGACCTCTACTGTATTGGGGTGGAGGCAGAAATCTCGAGACTCCAAACCAGGAAGCAACCTCTGGTTCTGAAAGTTGAAGCCAATAAGGAAGTGTGTTAAAGCTGCATTCTCTCTAGTGTCCAGCAGGGGGCGACTCCTCCGGTTGTATAGAAGTCTATGAGAAAATGACTACTTCTCTCTTGATTTATTCCCTCAGTAAACATGAGTTTATGGTCTCAATCTCTAGTTTGAAGTCTTCTTCAATACAGCGTAATGTTCATTTAGTAAATTATGGTCCATTTAGAGTCAAACAGACCATAAAGCAGGGTATGCTAGGGCGGGGCTACTTGTGATTGACAGGTCTCTACCGCTACCAGAGCCGTTTACGGCGTCCCTACGTCACTGCTCGGCAGTCCAAGTAAAAAAACAAACCGCGCTGGTTTACAAGATGTCGTCATAGCTTTTTTATGGTTATGAAACAATGTCAGTTTAAGGCCGTGTTGCTGGGCCCGCTGGAGGGAAGGGAGGCACTGTAGAACCAAGACTGACCGGGCCAGACTGTCACACCCTGCTGCAGTAAAATAAGAGGTTTTGTAAAGGGAATCTGCTGATCAGAAACTCTACCGCTTTTGTCCACATGGAACACCAATCGACAAAAAAAAAAAAGATTGTAGCATCTATTCATGTAAACTAACTGGTGTAATTTGCTCAAATCATAATTTTGAAGATTAACAATTACTTTGTTAGGATTCAACGACTCTATGAGATCATGAACAAGTCATGGAAGTTCGATTATGTCTTGCTCTCACCTTTCCTCTTATCTGGAGCTATATTTAAGGATGTTGTCACCAGGCTTACTTCGACTACTTGACCTGAGCCCAGCGGGTCACGGCAAAGTATCTGGTGTCAGGTCCCTTTGTTGCATACAGCAGGCCCGTGTGAGGGAACGCGAGGCTGTGGGTTATCGTAAACTATTTTCTCTCCTGTGTTTATGCCTTAAGAACAGGTAAAAAAATAAATATGTGTGTGCGTGTGTGTTAGCAAGTTATATAAATGACCTGGAAGAAAACATGAATGATCTTAATCCTGTGGAGAACATGGGATAATGGTGCCCTTCAGCCTCTTGTGGCTGAAATGAGTATTACAACAACAAACATTAAAATCATCCTGACAAAACATTTTGTCTCTTGAACCAATCTGCCTGTTGAAGGAATATTTAAATCAAAAAAAGAAACGTGTGCTTTGGTGGAGGGATGCAGGCTGCTGACAGCCAGAAGCGGAAGACAAACTGCACAGCAGCTCAGCAGTCGCTTCATCTAAACAGTGACAGCAGCTGTGACACTTTACATTCACACATACTGAACACACAAAGCTCTGCCCACACACACACATATATTTCTGCCAGCCTTACCATGAAATCTGGTCTTCTCCTAGCCTATCAAGTTACAAAACACACACTGATGAGAAATACTATCATCAGAGAGAGAGAGAGAGAGAGAGAGAGAGAGAGAGAGAGAGAGAGAGA